TTCATCAGACACTCATCACTTCAGAGATCCCAAGGATTTTAGGAGCTGTGTGCCAGGAAATGGAGGCAGAAACCAAATATGTATTTTTTTATTATGTCACAAAGACTAAAAGTGAATGAAAGAGATGAAAACTACAATGGTGAGTAAAAAAGACACTGCTTGATTAACAAAAGATTAGACATTGTAGAAGAATCATCAGCTTGAAACCATAGCAACAGAACTATTCAAAGTGAAATACCTAGAGAAAAGAGAATTTTAAAAGAAAGAAAGAAAAAATACAGCTAAGTGAGCAGAAAAGAATTTCTGAAAGTTGGAGTGTAGGGCAGAAAAATATCTGAAAAAATGCCCCCCAAATTCCAAATTTTAGACCAACTCTACACCCACATATTCGAGAAGCTTAATGAAACCTGGGCACAAGAGACGTGAAGAAAATAAAACCAAATTACATTATAGTCAAATTACTCAAAACTAGTAATAAAGCAAATCTTAAAAGCAGCCAGAGGGGGGAAAAATGCTATGTACAGAAGAATCAAAGTAATGACAAATATTTTATTGGAAACAATGCAAGCAAGAAAACAGTAGAGCAATATCTTCAAAATACTGAAAAAAAAAAAAAAAGAACTCTCAACCTCATTCTATACTGAGTGGAAACACCTCTTCAAAACAAATGTGAAATAAAGCATGTTAGACATAATAAAGTTGAAAGAATTCACCACCAGGAGACTCACAGTGAGGCAAACATTAAAGAAGTTCTTTAGGCAGAATAAAAATGATACCAGGCCAGGCATGGTGGCTCACGCCTGTAATCTCAGCATTTTGGGAGGCCGAGATGGGTAGATCACGAGGTCAGGAGATCAAGACCATCCTTGCCAACATGGTGAAACCCTGTCTCTACTAAAAATACAAAAATTAGCTGGGCATGGTGGTGTGTGCCTGTAGTCCCAGCTACTCGGGAGGCTGAGCCAGGAGAATCTCTTGAACCCGGGAGGTGGAGGTTGCAGTGAGCTGAGATTGCGCCACTGCACTCTAGCCTGGGTGACAGAGCAAGACTCTATCTCAAAAAAAAAAAAAAAAAAAAAAGATACCAGGTGAAAATATGAATCTATAAAAAGAAATAAAGAGCATCAGAAATGGTAACTATGTGGGTACATCTATGTACTTTTTCTTAAACTTTAGATCTGTTGAAAGATAACCAACTGTTTAAGCAAAAATAACAACAATGTACTGTGATATTTGTAGCACATATCAAAGTATAATACACAATAACAATAGCACAAAGTTTGGGAGGGGAGAAATTGAAGTAGAACATTGTGAAGTTCCCAAACATGCAATGGTATCGTATCACTGGAAGATAGTCTGAGATAACTTAAAGGTATATAGTATAGACCATAAAACAACACTAAAATAACACAACAAAAAGTTGTAGCTAATAAGATAACAAAGGGGGTAACATGAAATCATTTAAAAATAATAAATATAAAAGAAGGTAGAAATGAGGAAAAGGGGACTTTAAAAACACATGAAACATATAGAAAGTACAAAGATAATATATTTAAATTTAACCATGTCATAAATCTCATTAAATGTAAATGGTCTAAACACTCATATAAATGACAGAGATTGTCAGATTTGATTTTAAAAAATGAAACATCTACATGCTGCCCCAAAGAAATACACTTTTAATATAAAAACATAAACTAAAATATATAGTGTGTTAACAGTAATCAAAAGCTGGATTATCTACGATAGCATTACAAAAATTGGTTTTTAGATGAACAAATATTACCATAGATGAAGATAGTAATTCCATATTGATAAGGGGTCAATTGATCAAGAGAACATAACAATCCTAAAAGTTGATGCCCCTTATTAACAGAGATTCTAAATACATTCAGTCAAAAAGTTTCTGTATTAATTTGATTAGGATAATGGCCTCCAGCTGCATCCATGTTGCTGCAAAGGACTAGATTTTATTCTTTTTATGGCTGTGTAGTATTTCATGTTGTGTATGTACCACATTTCCTTCATCCAATCCACCATTAATGAGAACCTATGTTGATTCCATTTCTTTGTTAAATAGGCTACTTTCAAGAAAAGCATTTTATTTATTTGAGACAAGGTCTTGCTCTGTCACTCAAGCTGGAGTGCAGTGGCATGATCATAGCTCACCACATCCTCAACCTCCCAGGCTCAAGCAATCCTCCTGCATCAGCCTCCTGAGTAGCTGGGACTACAGGGGCATGCCACCACATCTGGCTAATTTTTTATTTTTATTTTTTTGAGACAGAGTCTCGCTCTGTCGCCCAGGCTGGAGTGCAGTGGCACGATCTCAGCTCACTGCAAGCTCTGCCTCCCAGGTTCACACCATTCTCCTGCTTCAGCCTCCTGAGTAGCTGGGACTACAGGCGCCCACCACCATGTCTGGCTAATTTTTTTGTATTTTTAGTAGAGACAGGGTTTCACTGTGTTAGCCAGGATGGTCTCAATCTTCTGACCTCGTGATCCGCCTGCCTTGGCCTCCCAAAGTGCTGGGATTACAGGCTTGAGCCACCGCGCCCTGCCTTCCCACATAATTTTTAACATTAGTGTGTCAATTACTATAAAAATCACTATTAGGATTTTGATTGCAATTGCATTAAATCTATAAATTTGGAGAGCAGTATCTTTACAAAATCGTTTTGTCCTATCCAAAACCAAAGCATACTTCTCTACTTATTTAAGTGCCTTTTAAATATCTTTCAATGAAGCTTTAAAATAGTCTAAACAGAGGTCTTGTACAACTTGTATTTATTCCTCGGGATCCTGTATTTTTGTTACTCTGTCAAGAAATTTCATTTCTAACTTTGTTACTGGTGTGTGGAAATATATTTGATTTAAAATAAGTTTATTGTATAACTTATTTGAATTTATTAAAATTAATAATTCAGATAATCTGTAGATTACTTCGTGTTTTCTATATAATCACAGTGTCACTGAAATAATGTATGTTTTGTTTCTTCTATTCCACTGAAAAAACCCTACTTTTTTGGTCTTAAATGCACTACCTCTAGCTTTTGGTGGTTTTAAATAGAAACAAAGCTACCACGCATCTTTGTCGTTTCCAGTTTTTAAGAGAATGCTTCTAACGTTGCACCATTAAGTATGATGGTTGCTGGTTGTAGATTTTTGGACTTTTTAAAGAGTCTTATTGTTTAACAAGAAGAATTTTAACATGAGGATTTCTTTAATTCCTTCCTTGCCTTTTCCCTTTTCAGTAAGAGAGGACCATTGCTGGGGGAGCCAGAAGACCAATAAGAGAGAGTAGCCAGAGACAGAGCTCCACGTGGCTGTGAATTGGCTCATCTCCTCCAGCAAGAAACATGGAATCTGAGCTCAGAAGAATATGCATGCTCAGGTTTGGAGAACTGAACACCAAAATAGCAACAGAGTTCATTTGACTGGTGCTACCTCAAGTAATTTATATTAACTCTATTCTTAGTTATCCTTGCTGGTTTTGCTGTCTTTACTTCCCTCCAATAAATACTTATTGCATCCCAACTTTTATGCTTAATGTTGTTTGGCACTGTAGAAAGACACAAAGAGACTGCATTTTCCTTTGTGAGCCTCTGTGGATTCTGAGCTTTGGTCTCCGTGACACAGTTATCACAGGCACTGCCATCATCTCATCTGACCCTTTGGGTGGGTGTCCTTTCTCCACATTTTTGAGATCTGTGTGGCCTTTTAATGTCAGAAGTGGCCTTAATGTAGGATGTTGGCCAAGGGCCAGGTTCACTTTGCGGGACCTGTGGTGCTGTGCCTCCGGGCAGGGTTTTGCCCAGCAGAGGAGACATTTTGGTCCTTGCTGCTTCAGTTGTGCTTCTGGCCTGAGGCCCTTTGGGACAGCTGGGGAAGCTTCCTGAGCTCCATCATGGGATTCAAATAATTCAAATTATTGGTATGGGCTTTCCTGGGTTCAGTCAAGACCCTGCAAAAAACCAAGAACAGCTGAGATGAGAATAAAAAGAGAGGAGATGGGCAGAAGAGCCCCCAGATCCATCCACTGGGGTAGGGGTGAAATTGAAAAGAAAGGATGTGGGGACACATTCAAGTTAGTGGACTTTAAGGAGGAGATGAAGGAAGAAAGGAGTGGCCCTGCTCTTGGCAATGATTCTTCAAGCAGGTGTCTTCAAAGTGGTCCTAAGACGAGATGGAAGTGAGCCAAGGAGGCTTCTAGGGGCCCAAGTAGGGAGGGATTAATAAGAAAGAAGAAGGCCAAAAGGTCTAATTTTCTGTGAGGCAAAATGTCCATATCTCTAAAACTTTCTAAGAGTCCATGTAAATTTCAGTGCATAGATGTGTGTTGCAACACACATGAAAAGGTATTTAGTAGAGATTCCTAGAAGCTGAGGGGGTATAGCTCAGGGGTAGAGCATTTGACTGCAGATCAAGAGGTCCCTGATTCAAATCCAGGTGCCCCCTGGAAAGAGTCTCCTTTTAGTACCTGCGTCTCTTTTCAGTACCACATACCAACTGGTACCTTCAGGTTGCCTCAGGTCCTATGGCAGGTTGAGGGGAGGTTCCTGGGAAGGAAGTAGAGGGAAAAGAGATGGAAAGGAATCTAGTCATCTTTTGGGCTGGGGCAATGGAAAGTCCCAAAACCAGGAATGTGGTTCTAGCTATGATCCTGTTATTAAGGGATGTGTGAACTCAGGCAGGCCTTTAATTAGTCTTTGTTTTTTCTTTCAGGCATGTAACATGCAAGTATAGACGAAATTCAAAGTTGCCAAACATGTCTGAGCACCAGAATGACCTGGGCGTGTGGTCAAGTATACAGATTCTGATTTGTTAGGTGTGAGAAGTTTCATTTTTCTTTCATTTCATCCTCCCACATCACAGAAACACCAGATGATCTCCTGGGCCGCAAAATTCAGCAACCACTTATGAAGCAGATTTGCCACATACCAGTTATTAATCTGCAGTTTGTACCACTTGCTCGAGTCCAGTGACACAGAACACTTACATAGCAAGTTAAGCAAAGCAACTTTATTCCTTACAGGCAGGCAAGGGACAACAGAAGCCTGGGATTTAGGGTGAGCTGGTTCCCCAAGGCTCAGGAAGCTGCCCAGGGCAGATGGAGTCCACCTGTGTGTCCCACTTCACACTGCAGCTGAGGGACCCTGAACACCCTCTGCTCTCAGTTTTATACCCCAAGGGCAATTTGGATCATTGGGCTAAAGCATAGCAGGACATCCTGTCCTAGGTGTGATGGGAACAGAGTCCAGGTTTAGGACAGTCCCTCCTCATCTCAGGACAACACACCCAGCACATTCTCTAGTTATTCTGAGAACTACAACCAAGAAAAGAGGGAAGCACTGGGTTGGTCAAGGCCATCCGGGGACTTGTCCTGCTGGGTCATTTAAAAAGCTTTTCTAGGATAATGTTGGCTTTCCAAGTGGTTTTCCAAGCTGATGTCTTTCCCATTGAGAGAAGAAGCTGTAGGCCTGTGGACCGCCAGGTGGGAGGAGGTTGGGGTTTAGAGGAAAGAGGAGAGCAGGAATGGGTTGTTTGCAGTGGGGCTGTTCCCATGGACTAACCAAGAAGAAATCGGGGTGCTGATGGGGCCACACAGGTGCTTATCAGAAACAGTTATAACAAGTGAGGGGTGTAACTGAAGGTAGTGCCTTGCACTGCAGGCCAAGCGGTCTCTGGTTCAAATCCATGTGGCTCCCACCCCCCTTCAGTTTTCTACTTACTGAACAAAAGCCTTTTCACCTCTGGGGTCTATTATACTGGAATCTTCCTGCAAGGAGAGAAGAGAGAATAGGCGGCATAGAGCTTTGCCAGGAAGCCTCTCCAGTTTCTCGTAGGTCCCAGTGAACTTCTCCAGGTGACTCTGTCCCCTCATTAACCCTTATCCTCAGAGCCTTGAAATGGGCCCAATTGTCCCACAGAACTGATGTTTATGGTTTCTCTTGAATAAACCTAGAAATTGACCCTCTCAGTCTTGAAACCCAAGGAGAAATTTACATTTGTGTTATCTGAATTCCTTTCTGAGGAAACCAACCAGCAATCCTCCCAGAGAGTATCAAGAAACTGAAATTTACCAGATCCCCACATGTGGAAAGTGAGAGGCCAGACCCCTCACCCATCATGATTGCCTAGGTGACCACCTACTGCCTGTTGGCCAACTCCTCTTCCTTGCCCCTCCCTAATCCGTTTTCCCACATGTAGTTACATTTCTTCCCTGCTATGTAAACCCCTAATTTTAGTCAGTCAATGACGATGGATTTGAGACTGATCTCCTGTTCACCCTGTCTGTAGCACCTGGATAAAGCCTTATTCCCTGGCAATACTCATCTCAGTGACTGGCTTTTTGTGAGATGAGCAGCAAGACCTAGATGGAACCCCTGGTGTTTCCGTAACAGCCTTGCAACTTGCACTTTCCCTGTGGGAATGCTCATCTCCACCACACAGGGCCATCCCCTGGAGGCGCAGGTAGTGATTTGACTCCTCTGGAATCCTCACCCCCAGGGACTGCATAGCATAGGGCCTTGCCTGGAGCAGATCCCATGGTTGCAGCTGCTCCCCGCTGAGCTGCTCTGGTAGGGTCTGTACAGACTGAAGGAACTAACGGAAGAGTGGTGAGGAGGGCTCCTAAGTGGCAAAATGACTGCCAGGGAAGTGGCTGTTACAGGCAGGGGTTTGTAAGCTTTCAGTCAGGAGGCCCCACATTATGCCCTGGGGCTACTTCCCTGCCCCTTGTGTTTATGAAGCCCCAGTATCTGCTTCATAAACACCAGATGTGCATGTAGGGGCATCTGTTTCCCACCTGAGCAGAGGCTCCCAGTGCCCACTGGGGTGAGTGAGCTGCAGCGTCTTCTCAGGGAGGTGAACAAGGTGAACCGCTTTAACACTGACCGTTGGAATCTGGGAGAAAGACTGAAAGAAGCAGTGGTTTCCCGTGTCTGAGTGAGTGCTCAATTATTCCTTGTGGCAGTATCCTGCGGATGACTGGTTGTTGCTTGCGGGCTTTCTTATTTCAAGTCAATAAAACCACATCCTTACCAACAGGGAGACATCTATTCAATTCGCTTCTGCCAGCGGTATCAGACTTCCACATGTGGGTTCGCTGCCTCGTTTTGTATTACTTGAAATTCTTATTTGGGACTCGGGAGACCTCTCTTGCCCAGCATGCCCTGCTGGGCTGACTCCATTCGGTCTCTCCATAGAGTTAAAAGCAACAACAGCTAAAAGCAAAGATCTGAAACAAACAAAAAATAACTAATTTTTAAACAAAGAAAAAAAAGCAAAGATCTGAACCCAATTCTGCTTAATCCCTAGCAGATTTTTTCTCCCTAAACAAGAGTATAATAGTCCATAATAATTGTAGCTGCAATCTGCTTACTCCCATAAAACATTAGCCTAAGAGACAAACACTGCCGCTTTCTAAGGTGCAAGTCAATTTCTTTTCAAGTTTTGAAGAGTGCGGAAGTTGGAGCCTCATGTAGGAAGCCTGACCTTGCTCTTGCAGAGCTACAGGCAGGAGCCGTGCAGACAGAAGGAGCCTCAGCAGAGGCCAGCATCAAGTGTGTGCCCTGGAGTGCCTGGGGACGGGGAGCCTGGGGCGTGGAGCAGGGAAGGTGGGGCAGAGAGTAGCAGGGGAACAGGATGCTAAAGATGGAAGGGCTTTATAGTCACCACACAGAATTTGGTTCCATGCAATGCAGCTCAGAGCTACCCTCCGTCCTTTTTCAGCTCTCCAGACTTCTTTTTCCCCTATGCCCTCTGCATCCAGGTCTCTCATTGGGCTCCACAACAGCACTCTGGCTGTGTACCCTTCCCTCCTCCCCACTTCACCTCCAGGCCACCTACCCTCTAGGTCCCCTCCAGGAATGGGAGCCCCATTAGACTAACACCTCCAGCCCCCATAAGCAGCTCAGGAGAGGGATGGGCCTGCGGGGCTGGACAGCCCTGAGTGTACCTGACTCTCCAGAGACCGCGGGCCAGGCAGAGGCCATGTCTGCTCTATGCCAGGATCTGTGATTTGGGCTGGCGGGAAAACAGTGCATAGCCCCCAGGATGACTGCCCTTCTCCTTTGGAGGAGCACTGGGCAATTTAATTAACTCTTATTTTTTTGAGGGCCCAAGACATAAAAGCTTCTTTTTGGGGTAACCCATGAATCTCTGGGAAGCTGCATTCATCTGGACTTTCCATTGAGACATGAGATTTAAACGATGGTGTGGGACGAGGGCCCATGTGGGGAGGAGGAAGAAGTGGGAGCTTGGGATGAGGCACGCATCCAGGCTGAAGTAGGCTTCATTAAGGTTCCACACTGCACACAGGTGACCCTTGAGCAATGAGGGAGTTAGGGGTGTTGACACCACACCCCGCGCCCCACCAACTTGCAGTCAGAAATGCGGATATAACTTTTGACTCCCCTGAAACGTAACTACTAATAGGCTACTGTTGACTGGAAGCCTTTCTGATAACAAACAGTCAATGAACACATTTTGTATGTTCGATGTGTTGTATACTGTATTCTTACAATAAAGAAAGCTAGAGAAAAGAAAATATTAAGAAAATCATAAGGAAGGGAAAATTTATTTCCTATAGAACAAGTGGAAGTGAAGTGGATCATCATAGAGGTCCTAATCTTTGTCATCTTCACAGAGCAGGCTGAAGAGGAGGAGGAAGAGGAGGGGTTGGACTTGCTGTCTCGGGGGCAGCAAAGACAGAAGACAATCTGTCTGTTAAGTGGACCCACAGTTCAAGCCTGTGTTGTTCAAAGTCAACTGTAGTTTTACTTACAGACTTTACAGATTCAGGACCAGGCTTCCTGGGTCAAAGTAATGAGAAGTGCAGAACCATCTTTGCTGACTAAACCCAAGCCCAGCTGAGGGGCGCTTGGACTGGAAGCAAGGCCTCTTGGTCTGCACTCAGCTACTGCGCTCTGGCACTGGCACCTGGGCTGGCTGAGCAGTATCTCTGACTCTGGGAGCTGAGTCCCATCCTCTTGTTGCCTGCAGCTCTTTCTTCACACCCAGAGTGGCTTTGGTTTACTAACGGGTCTGCTTCCCTGCTAAGAGGACACCTTGCTTCCCTTTCAGTCACCTCTTCCGGCCGTTTCGGCCAGCCCTCCTCAGCCTGAAGTCTTCAGCTCCTTGGAGGGCAGGTGGATAGAGAAGCTAGAACCACTTTCTCAGATCTCACTTGGGCTCTTCTGGTACCTGGGGAGCTACTGTAATTTGAAAATCAGCTCACCCTCTGGGTGTGTCTCTCTGCAGAAGGTGCGTGCTCTAAGAGGCGGTTTGTGCATGTGTTGCTGAAGGGGACTTAGGAAGTGCTTACCTTTATTCGAGATGATGGGGAATCTTTCAGAACAGATATGACCACTGGGAACAGTGACCTACTAAGCTGATGGTTATGGAAACCTGGGGTTGCCTAGAAACATATATAAAAGGGAAAGGTACTGTGACTTGGTGTTTGTTCCTCCCAGCAGGACCTGAATAATCCCTGGAGAGGGGTCTCTGCTGTTGGGCAGGCAGAGGCCAGGACACTCTGGCCCAGTGCAGCAAACTCTCCACCCTAACATTAGCCTTGCTGCAGACCCCCCTGCCTGTTCTGATGTGGGAAGGGGTCCTGATTACTGAGTGTGAATAGTCCTCTAACTGGGAAGATCTAGAGTTGTGAAATAATGTTCATTTTTTGAAACTGTGGCTTTGGGTGAAATTCAAACATTGCAGAAAGGTGAGACCTAAACATGGTGCTTACGCTGAGACTCTGCTTGGGGGGCCCACCTGAGCAGCCAGCCAGCCCCCACCCTGATGATATTGCCACTGGGTTACAAGGCATGGAGTGTCTCAGGCTCATCACAGGTAGGGGTGTGCAGTGAGAATAAAACAGGAGTCATGGGCTTTTCATGGAGATCCAGAAATAATCAGACAACTGAGGCCTTTGAAGCCTCAAAAGGACTGTGACTTTTGACATCACCAACAAAGCTTTAGGACTCAGGCCTAGGTCACCCCTTCTTTACCAGAGTTCATTGATAGCCAACCTGATCAATGGCTGTTCTTCTATAAACACCTGTACCATATTACTCGTAGTTTCTGATCACTAATCACTCAACATACTCATATCTTTTATGGCCATTCTTTGCGGGTCTTTTCATCTTCCCCCTCTGCTGTCAGCTCCTCTTCTCTTTCTTGGCATCTGTTATGTTAACCATCTTGAAAAGAGAGAATCTGATTGGTCATTATCCCTGTGTGGGCAGAACTGCAGGTCACTGGTTCACTTGTATATTAGCTGGGAAGAGAGGAAAACATCAAAGAAACTAATTAATACTCTGAGAAAAATATGAAAAAATATCAAAAACAAAAATAATATAAACAATAACTAGAATTAAAAAAGGGGGTGTCACTGTAATCCAACGGACACTGATAATAGGAGTCAACTATTGAACAGGAAACCTTAAAAATAAAAAAAACATGGGGCTAGTTCAGCTATCGAAGGAGAATAAAGGGAGTTTGATGAGCAATAGCATGACTATGGAAACAAGACCCTCAAAAAAAAAAAAAAAAAAAAAAAAAAATTAAGAAAAAAGGATAGAAGATATAAAAATTAAATAGAAAATTTGAAAAATAAAGCTGAGGCAGTTTCCCAGAAAGTAAAATAAAACAAAAAGACAAAGGAAAAGATAGTAAGAGAGATAAAAATAAGAAAGTTAGAGGTTAAAACCAAGATGTATAAAAACCAACTAAATAGGCTTGGCGCAGTGGCTCACACCTATAATCCCAGCACTTTGGGAGACCCAGGTAGGAGGATCACTTGAGGCCAAGAGTTGAAGACCAGCCTGGACAACATGGTGAGATCCCTGTTTCTACCAAAAAAAAAAAAAAAAAATCAGCTGGTCACCGTGGGGTGTGTCAGTAAGCCTAGCCATTCAGGAGGCTAAGGTGGGAGGATCACTTGAGGTCAGGGGTTTAAGGTTATGGTGAGCAAGACACTGTCTCAAAACAAAAAAAACTGATAAAAGTCCCAGAAAGAGAACATGATGGAAAGGACATTATACAAGAACATTACTCATAATGAAAGGACTTGGCTATGCATTAGAAAAGATTCTCCAAATGCCCAACAAAATGAATAAAAAAAATCTTCATCAAGTATATCATAGTGTGATTACAGAATACCAGGACAAAAGGGAAGATCTTCAAAACTTAAAGAGTAAAAGAAACAGGTGATACACAAAAGATAGAGGATCACAATGGCACTTGACTTTTCTATAGCAATACTAGACACTAGAAGACAACAGAAACAATCCTTCCCAATATGCAGGATTATAAGTTGAACCTAGAAATCTGTGTCTGTCCAGACTGCTAATCAAGTGTGTAGGTGGAATTATGGACATTTTGAGGCATGCAAGGTCTTAAAAAATTCACCTCTACTCACCATTCCCAGAAAACAACTGCAGGACATCCTCTGCCAAAATGAGGAAGTAAATTAAGAAACATTCAAGACGTGGCAATCCAGGAAAAAGGGACTTGCACACAGGAGACAGAGATGGAAAGAATGTCCTGGTAAGGGTGGAGGAAGTCCCAGGGCATGGGCTGAGCAGCAGACTTTCCAGGGCAACCAGCACAAACAGAGCAGGAAGCCGGAGAGCTACTGGAAAACAAGAAGTGAAAATGTTAATTATCTAACAGCTTTTACAATGTGGTAAATTGATTTGACAGGCATTTCATGGAGCAATGAAAGGCTGTGGAAAATCGTAGATATTCCAAGAAAACCAAGCGGTTGAAAATGTGAGACTATCAGTAACTTGAGGGAAAAAAAAGTTCCATCAGAACTCTTAGTTCAGCTTAGGATTATGTACATTGGCCATAAACACTATTAACTAGTCATAATAATTAAAACATGGAAGATAAAATTGAATAGAAAGTAAACATACAGCATTTTATCTACGAAGTTGATATATGGTAGGTATACTGGAAAACAGAAAAGGGACATGAGTGATAATCCTCACCTACAAAAATAAGTCAGCTAATGATGTCTAAATTTGATTAGACACACCATGCTATGACATACTTATATTACTTAAAATTATAGAGGCAAATAGACTAGAAGAAACAGTCAGAAGGGTGGAGAGTGGCTGCCTCTGGGTGGCAAGAGGAAAATAAAAAGGACTGAGGTTTCTTTTACTATAAGCTTTAAAAGCAATATTTGACTCTCAAAAATAGTTGCACAAGATACTTACAAAAGTATATGTAAGGTTTAAAATAGCCTTGCACTGGGAATGGGGGTGTAGTTCAGTGTAGAGTTTTCCACACTAGCAGCGGAGATTTCTGGCCAAAACCTGGAGGAGCTGTGTGGTCCTCATGCTATGTTGTCTCCATGATGCTTCCCAGGACTGCTCTCTGATCCATGTCAGGGCCTGGGAACTTCCCCAACTGTTTCATGAACTGGATTTAATGCAAAGATCCCAGGCTGAGAGATATCTTTATATGTCAGTATTGCATGTGTCTCAATTTGTGTCTCCAAACTGCTATTTTGTAAACAAGAAGAAATCAGACATGTAGACCTAAAGGCTGTTCCAGCAGTAAACGGGAACACTCCTCCCAGCTGCTCCCGTCACCACAGACTGAGGGAAAGCGGGGAGATGTGCAGGTATGTGAGCAGGGGCTAGGGTTTGGGAATTGGGGATGGACTTTTCTGGGGTGAGTTTGTGGTAAAATCCGTTGCTGGTCTTACTCTCTAAAAGCAAGCGGGAACTTTCAATGTGCTGTAGGACTGCTGGGAGATTACCAACATGAAAGGTGCTTATTAGACACTCATGACAAGTAGGGGGTATAGCTCAGGGGTAGAGCATTTGACTGCAGATCAAGAGGTCCCCAGTTCAAATCTGGGTGCCCCCTACTGCACTTTTTCTATTCATACAAGCTGTTATGTTCTTCACAGAAGCTGTTGGTCATATTCCAGTTTCTTTTCATCCATTCCACCTATGATTTTCCCTGGAACTGGAAGCTACACCTCAGGCCTACCCAACTGCACCCCGGCTGGATAACTTCTCATCTCTTCCAGCACCAGTTCCATGGGTATCCCTCATATTCTTGGTATCCAGCTCCCTGCTCCCCCTATACATGTAATTTCTCCAGCTGTCATGCAGAATGCTTCTGGGTTTTTCCAGGGCAGACCAGAGAGTAGCACTACAGCAGGTTTCTCAGAAACAGACAGGGCATGGTATCCCAAGTTATCACCCTCCTGGCTCCTTCCCACAGCAGCAGTTTGTGCAATGGAGTGGTGGCCAGACCTGGGGAGACACATCACAGCACGCAGCATTCCCATGTAGGGCAGATATTTCTCCCTGGAGAATTGGTTTCTCCCACGCCAGAGCTCACTCACACCCTTGCTTCAACCTTGTAGGCCAAAAGCCTGGCTCAGCTACTCTAACAAGGGAGATAGAGGTTCTGCAGTGCTGCCCCTGCAGACCCAACTCCTGTAGCTCTGCGGCTGCAGTTGAATTTCAGCCCACTCTGTGACTGTGGCCCAAGGCTTGGAGGTAGGGGATTAGACTCAAGAGTCTGTTCGTATGAGATGATTTGGAATTCCAACTTTGTTCTGTGGGCCACAGGGAGTCCTGTGTGCTGCAATGAAGAACCAGGTCAAGTCCTTTGTCTAAGAAGGTCATTTAGGAGACATTATAGATACTGGTTTGGAGTTTGCCGAAAGACAAGGACAGGAACTGGTGTTATTTTTTGAACACCTACTATGCCCTACTATGTGCTAATATCATGCTAGGCAGTTTATCATCAGTTACCATATTTGTCCACTCTGTCTTCACTGCAGGAAAAAGGAATTCAGGCTGGGAGGTCAGATCAGAATCTGTGGACTGTTTTGGAGACCAGTGGCCAGCTCTTGGGTTAACTCCAAAAAACAATGGGAAATGACTGGGGGTTCTGCAGGCAGCTTCCATCCTTTTCTCCTGTTCATGGCTCCACCCAGGGACAGGCCTGGTGAGCTGCAGAGCTGAGGGAAGGTGTCTAGCTGTGAATCACATCTGGCAGCTTCTAGAAAGTCCTGGAGGGAAGCCATGATTTAATTTTACAAAGCTGAGTGCTCCCACACTGATGAAAGGTATGAACTAGGTAACCTCAGTGTGCCATGGGGGTATAGCTCAGGGCTAGAGCTTTTTGACTGTAGAGCAAGAGGTCCCTGGTTCAAATCCAGGTTCTCACTTCTGTTAAGTTTAATTTTGGTAGAGAACTTTATCCACATACATCTTAGATTGGCATGAGCCACACTGATGTTCCTTCTATCTGTATGGGGTTTGCCTCCTTAATCCATTATAATCATCCAGATCCCCTGAAGGCTGCCTCATCTTGCAATCCCCCACCTCATTAGTACAGTGCACTCAAAGCAGGTCTCAGGAATTGCTCAGTAGATAGCCCTTCCAACCTCCCTAGCCACTCCCTCCATGCTCCTCCCCTCCAGCCTCTCTCTCCATCTTCCATCCCATACTCCCGGTCAAGGAGAAATGGTGCTTGTTTTGGTCCAGAGCCAGCCACAGAGTGCAGAGCTGCATTTCTGAATTCTTAGAATTGGCAGGCTAAGGTTTGAGGGGTAGGGACTTCAGTCTCATGAGGCTGTGCTAACAAGGACAAGTACAACTTGGAGGGGAATGCTAGAGGAGGCTGAGGCTGTCAGGAGAGTCACAGTTGAGTCACAGTCATTTACTCACTAAATGTCACCTATTGAAGAGGCGCCAAGCAGTTTGCCCCGCTCTGGAATTACGAAGATCACATGTTCCTTGCATACATCTGGCAGCAGTGGGAAAACCTCAGAAGTTCCTGTGGGATGTCTGATTTCTATTGCAAGAGGCAGGCCCTCCTGGACACTCGCTGGGGCGTGTGAGTTGAGTGACACTTCGCATAGGTTACTCAACCTCTGCTGGGCCTCAGTTTCTGCATCTGTCAACTGGAAGATAATAATCCTACCACCTCATAGGTTTCCTTGGTGAGGGTTTAAAGCACATAGAACAATGCCTGGCTGTGTCTCGTGGCTCATGCCTGTAATCCCAGCACTTTGGGAGGCCGAGGCAGGCGGATCACCTGAGGCCAGGAGTTTGAGACCAGCCTGGCCAACATGGCGTAACCCCGTCTCTAATAAAAATACAAAAATTAGCCAGGCATGGAGGCAGGTGCCTGTAATAACAGCTACTCAGGAGGCTGAGGCACGAGAATCACTCAAACCCAGGAGGTGGAGGTTGCAGTGAGCCAAGACTGTGCCACAGACTTCCAGTCTGGGTGACAGAGGGAGACTCTGTCTCAAAAACAAAACAAACAAACAAACAAACAACAACACCAAAGAAACAGTCAGGAGTCGGCATGGAGATCTGAAACAGACAGAGATTTTTTAGTCTGCAGTCTAATGCACTATATCCAAGCCGTTATTTGACATGTCACCCAACAGGTGAATGACCGTATTTTTCTGACTAGTCCCCTCCCTCCCTTCTCCTCCTCTCCATTTTCTTCCCTTTCCCTTTTCCTTACCTCTCCTTTTCTTCTTTCAAGCTGTCTCACTCAGCTCAGGTCCAGCTCAGACTGAAGTACAGTGCCATGATCATAGCTCACTGCAGCCTCCAACTCCTGGGCTCCAGCAATCCTCCCATGTCAGCCTCCTGAATAGCTAGGACTACAGGCATGAGCAACCATGCCCGGCAAATTGTTTTTAATTTTTAATTTTTTATAGAGAAAGAGGTCTCGCTCTGTCACCCATACTAGAGTGCAGTGGTACAGGTCATGGCTTACTGTACCCTCAAACTTTTGGGCTCAAGCAATCCGCCTGCTTCAATCTCCCCAGTAGGTAGGACTACAAGCCAGTGCCACATGTCCAGCTCATTTTTTAATTTTTTAATTCATAGAGGTGGGGTCCTGCTATGTTTCCCAGGCTAATCTAGACCTAGGAAACTCAAGCAATCCTCCATGTCTCAGCTTCCCAAGAGCTGGGATTACAGGCATGAGAAACCATGTCCAGCCATAACTAGTATTTCTTCAGTGTTGAAACCACAGCTGTGACATTGCCATCTTATATAAGCAGGGTTGACCCACCCCACTGAAAATGTGTCTCTCTTTCTGCTGCCTACTCCCCTTCCACCAAGGCCACGGAACCCTCAGCCAGTAACCCTGCAGCCTCCTCTCCCTCATCTTTCTCCCTCTGGGTGAGAACAAAACTCCAGAGAGCTATCAACCTGTACAGAGTCAGCAGTCAACCCCCTCAATTAAATTTCTCAAATATTTAGTGACCAAGAGGCCAGCCTTTGTGGGAGGATAGAGATGAGTGAAATCTAGCACAAATCATCCCTGTTCTCTCTTAGAAGCTCTCGATCTAGTGAGGAAAAGTGATGTCAACAAAAAATGACATTAGCTGCGATAGAAAGCAGTGTGGACTACAGCCGGGACGCCTCCGGATGTGGACTCAGTGACAGCTCTGCAGAGATAGTAAGCATCAGTGAGGTCTTGAAGGTGAGTGTGTGGGAAGGGCGTGCTAGACAGAAAATGCAGAGGAACAAAGATGCAATGTTGTTGGAGTGCTGTCTGGGTCTAAAAGAAAGACCGAGGTGTGTGTGCCTGGGTGTGTGTGCACCCGTGTGTGTTCGTGCCTGCAGGTATGCCTGCTTGCATACGGAGTAGATCGGAAGTGTTTTTGTGATGAGTGTGCAGAGCAGGGGGTGGGAGGACTGTGACTGCAGCCTAAGGCTTGGAAGTGGGTGACTAGACTCAAGACTTTGCACGTGTGAGATGTTTTGGAATTCCAACTGTTCGTTTTTTGAGATGGAGTCTCACTTTGTCACCCAGGGTGGAGTTCACTGGTGCGTTCTCAACTCACTGCAACCTCCACTTCCCGGGTTCAAGGGATTCTCCTGCCTCAGCCTCCTGAGTAGCTGGGATCACAGTCATGTGCCACTATACCCGGCAAATTTTTGTATTTTTAGTAGAGACGGGGTTTCACCGTGTTGGCCAGGTTGGTCTCAAACTCCTGACCTCAGGTGATCTACCCGCCTTGGCCTCCACAGTGCTGGGATTATAGGCGTGAACCACCGTGACTGGCTGGATTCTGAGTTTGTTTTGGGGGCTACAGGAGTCCTGTGCCCTAAAATGAAGCAACCAGGTCAGGTCACTTGTTTCAGGAGGTCATTTCGGAGACATTACAGAGGATGATTTGGAGTTTGCCAAAAGACAAGGACAGGAACTGGTGTTATTTTCTGAACCCCTATTATGTGCTAATATCACACTAGGCAGTTTATCATAAGTTATATTTGTTATAAGAAACTTATCTGTGTTTAAGAGAAGAAACTGAAGCTTACAGAGTTAAATAGCCTGCCCAGTGACACAGAGTAAGGAAAGGAATGTAGAGGAGAAAAAGGGATTCCAGAGAAACTTTCAAGATAAAATATTATAGGACTTGGTGACTGATCAGACGTAAAGGCTGAGGAAAATGTGAGAAAGAAGAGTTGAGAAATAAAAATTTCTTTTTTTCCAGAGAGCAATATAGCAGTAGCTACAGGGGAAAGCGGGCAATCTAACCTAACTTAGGATAGAGACTGAGCAAGCTTTGGGTGGGGGAAGGAACGAGATTGAGAAAGAACTCAATTCAGTTATAGATGGGGTACAGATGGGGTGATTTGCTTTGGAAGGAGACAGGAGAATGTCTTCTCTGAGAGAGAAGGGAAAGGACTGAGAACAGAGGAAGAGAGATGTCTGTGGTAGGGTGGGAAGCCGAGGAGCTGAGGTCTGGCGGCTTTGACTCCCTCTGTAAAGCAGAGGGAACGCATCGCAAGGACAGAGCGTGGGGAGACGGCAGTTGCTGATGAGCTGCAGTCTGAGCAGAGGGACTTGGACAGTACAAAGAGGAGCGGTGTCATTTTGTTGGAGCTGGGATTGTGTGCTGCTCCTCTCTGGAGGCCACCTCTCAATGGGCACTGAGAACACTGATGTTCCCAGACACACTTGTCCCTGCCTAGGTCAGCACAAGGAGAGTGCCAATGATTTTACTCTCCAGCTCTTTATGTTTTAATTCTATGCAGATCCTGGCTCAAGGTGTCTAGGTCACTCTCAGGAGTAGACCAGGTTACTGGTTTCCTTGTGTACAGCCCACTTCTACCTTCTGTCAGTCACACATTAACCATCTTTTGGGTGATCCCCTCAGCGGAGGAATCCATTCGCTCAGGGGACTCTTGCAGATTTTTACCAGTTCACTCCAGGCTTGGCTGTGGTGGGAATCTCACCTCTAAACTGTGAGGATCTCTTTCTATAGTGTCCAAAATAAGACCATAAAGGAGATAAAAAGAAACTAGAACTTGCCGGACAAAGGAAATTTAATCAAAAGTGTTACCAGTATGAACATGGCATAGAATCCACTGTTACCAGTATGAACAGGGAATATAATCCATTAAATTCTCCACTTAAAACACAAAAAAATTAACTGGATTAAAAAAATTGTATCTTGTTCACGAGAGAGGATACAGAAATGTTAAAAATAAAAGAACAGAAAAAGATATCTGTATCTAAAGCAACTACATATGATGTAGCTATAGTAAGTAATACCAGAGAAAATAGTTTTTGAGGCCCGAAGCATTACCAGGGATAAAGAGAGTAATTCTGTATTGACAGAAAGTTCAATTCACCAAAAACAGCAATTCTAAATTTGGTATACCTAATAACATAGCCTCAAAACATAATAAGTGAAAATATATGAAACTGAAAGAGAGAAATGGACAAACCTCTGCTGGATCTTTCATGTGAGAGATCTTAAAAACCCTTGTGAATTTGTAAACAAGCCCACATAATATCAAAAGGACACAGACGATTTGGACAACATGACTAACAAAACTGACCTGTTTAACATGTAAAGAATCTTGCACTTATATGCAGAATATGGATTTTTTCCAAGCGCACGTGGAACACTGACAAATATGAATTGTATACTGAACCACAAAGCCAGTCTTAACAAATTCCAAAGTATTGAAATCATAAAGAGCATGTTTTCTGACCAAAATAAAATTAAGCTAGAAATTAATAACATCAAATAACAAATCCAACAAATATTAGAAAATCTTCATGTTTAGAAACTAAAAATTCTACTTCTAAATAACCCATGGGTCAAATAATAAATCGTAATAGGAATTAGAAAATATTTTGAACTAAATGATGAAAATACTAGATATTGAAATTTATCAGTTGCAGCTCTACAGTACTTAGATGGCAATTTACAGCCTTAATGCATCTCTAGTATTATAGAAAGAAAAGGTTAAAATGAACAAACTAAGCATCTCTCCCAAAAGGCATGAAAGTAGTAGTAAAATGAATCCAAGGAAAAAATAAGGGAGAAAGTAATACATTAATTAATGAAAGCACAAATTAATTAAGTAGAAAACACACAAGAGAGGGTCAATGAAGCTAAAGTTGTTCTTGGAAACAAACAATAAAAGTAATAACCCAGACAAGATTGACAAAGTAACACTAATAACCAATATCAGGAAAGAAAAGAATGCATTATTATAGTTCCCCCCAAATTAAAAAGATTGTAAGATGATATGATCAATTTTATGCCAATGAAATATAATATTTACATGGCATGGAAAAGTTTCTAGAAAAATAAAACTTACATGAAGAGAGGAATTCTTTGTCTGCTTGATGGTCTCAGCTCTCTCTCCCTTCTCATTGATCCACTTTAGTTTAGCAGTACTAAGCTGGTTTGAAGGGAAAAAATACAATTTTTTAGCTGATACAGGTGCCATTATGCCAACCTCATAAACACTTGGTGGCAATATTCCACATTCTCCTGTCTACCAGCAAGGCTGATTCTTTTGCCAAGAAGCTTTTACTGTTAAATATTTCCTCCAAATATCTGATGTGGCACAGAGAAAGAATGTCTCTTCTGGAGTACTTGCTACCATGTGTCTAACTTGTCCAGCTCAAGAACGTGTTTCCTTGAAATAAAGAGAGTTTGGGAAGTTGCAGACATTCCGATGCATTGTTTGTAACTTTTCCCAAATAAATCTTACTTTATGCTTATACTAGTGGTATTTGTCCTCAACATCTGGCTTAATTTTATCAAAATTGACACAAGAAGAACTAAAAATCACGACTAATCATGGAACGATTAAGGAACTTGAATTCATAATGAAACATTTTGCCATTAAAAGAGTAACAAAAAACTTCCAGGCACAGATAGTTTAAACACTTGTTATACCAAACACTTCAGAAAGAAATGATGTAAGTCTTACACAGACACTTCTGGAGAATAGAAAATTAAAAACAGCGTACCTTTCCCAACTCATTTTATGAGGCTAGTTAAACTTACTATAAAAAATAACAAAGACAATGTAAGAAAACAGGCCAATCTCACATATTAACATAGAATAGACTTTAAAAACCATAAGCAAAACTATTAATACATCAAGGTCAGCATTACATAAGAAAGAATAACACATAATAACCAAATTAAGATCATTTCAGAATGTAAGATTGACTTAACATTAGAAAAATCTATTACTGTAATTCACCACACTATAGGACATAGTAAATGCTGTTAGTGTCCCACTGATATTCCTTCAGAACTTATCAGTTCTGTGCATGCAGGCCCCAATTTCAACTGTCAGCACCTATAACTATGTCTGAGGGCATTATCAGGCTGCCCAAACATATAACAGGCTAAAAGTACCAAATAATTAGCAACCAACCTTCGAAAGCAACCCTCTACCCATGACTGATGGAAGCAGATGGAGAAATACACAAGCTGCCTTGTTCTTTTGGAGAGGACAACCCTAAAGCATGTTATACATTCTTACAAAGTCCCTAACAGTATTAAGCTCCAGTTGCCTATAAAGGTGCCTATAATGGTAACTTGTCTAATATCCCACTGTGAAAGCTGTCAGAATGAAAATGGAGTCACTTGTGTTAAAACCGGACAAACGGAGCCAGGGAAGGCCACAAAGGTAGAGTTTTTATATATGAATTCCTGATAACAAGAACTATCACAAAAGACTGTAAAAACCACAACCTTGCACAAAGGCCACTGTAACCTTACACACTCACAAAAAATACTTCTGCAAGGACATTTGCCCAGCAAAAGCCTGACCAGCCTTGGACTGTTGCCACCTTTGTTACTGATTGCTGTAGCCAGGAATTATTTCTTCAAAACAATTTATATAATCCTTCTCATTTTGCCTTTACCTTGCCACGACCTCCTCAAAAACACACAGTTTACTGTGACACCTGTATTCCCATTGCCAATGCTTGTTCCCTAAATAAATATAATTTCCTCTCAGAGGGCTTCTCTCTGTCTGTTATGTAGGCTGACACCACCTTTTATTGGCTTCTTTCCTTTCTCTGTCTGCCTTACCATTCCTGACTGGTGTTTCCTGAACTTATCTCCCAAATAAACTACTTGCTCTTAAATTCTAGTTTCAGGGTCTACTTCTAAAGAAAGCCAAGCTAAGACAACAGATTAAAGGAAAAAAAATCACGTCATTAAAATAGATGAAGAAAAACATCCAATCAAATTCAACACGTCTTCATGATGTGTCTACCTAAAACATAAAAAGAAATCTTACTTAATGGTGGGATGGTGAAAGCTTTCAACTGAAAACTGAAAGCAAGACAAAAGTGTTCTTAAATAAAGGAGAAATGGAAACTGAATTGAGGAGCAAAAGACTTATCAAAAATCACCAAATATATTTTTAAAATAAATCAACTAAGACATTCCAGAAATGAAAAGTATCAATGTCTTCCTTTTTATTTACTTTTAATTGAAATACAACTCACAGTAAGGTACACACATCTTCAACATACAGCTCAATTAATTTGCACACATGCATACCTATGTACCCACCTCCCAAATCAAGATAAAGAAAATTTCTAGCACCTCAGAGGGTCCTGTGGTTCCCCTTCCCAATTACCCTCTCTCCCGAAAAGGTAACACTATTCTATCACCATGGACTAGTCTTGCCTGTTCTTGATTTTATATACTGGAATTGTACATAGTTATTCCTTTGAAACTGCCTTCTTTCACTCAGTCTTATGTCTATAGGATTTATCTGTGTTTTTCCACGGTAGTGGTACTCTGTCCTTTTTAAAACTCTGTTTAGGATTCCGTTATATGACTAGATCATGACTTATTTACCTATCCTACTGTTCATGGGCATTTGTTTCCAGTTTGGGACTATTAAAAGAAATGCTGCCATGAACATTCTTGCATGGACATACACACTCTCTGATGTCTGTATCAAGGAATATAACTGCTGAGGAAGAGGGTGTTTTTACTTTTACTTTTAGCCAATAATGCCAGATGGTTTTCTAAACTGGATACAGCAAATGACACTACCACTAGCAGGGGATAGGAGTTACTATGGCTCCACATACCATCACTGAGTAACATCAGTCTCTTTCATTTTAACCATCCTAGCAACAATTCTAGCGATAGTTCACTGTGGTTTAACTTGCACCTTTCTAGACTCACGAGGTTTGAGCATCTTTTAATAAGCTTATTGGCTGCTTGGATGCCCAATTGTATGATGTAACTGCTCAAATCTCTTCATCATTTTTCTACTGAGTTGTGTATTTTTAAATTGTCTTGTGCAATTCTTTATATATTTTGGGTATAAACCCTTCATCAGTTATGTGCAATAGATACCTTCTCCTGCCGTATGGGTTTTTATTCCCTTACTTGCGTTTATTGGCTCTAATGAATGTCAGCTGATTTCCCTGCAAACTTTTTAACTGTTCAGTAAACAGTATACAGAAGTTACTACGTGCCAGTCCTGTTTTCAGTGCTTTACGTAGATTAACTCATTCTATCTACACAACAATCCATCACGTAGACACTCTTATTACCCCCATTTCACAGATAGCACAGTTGAAGAAAGGGAAGGGCAGTAATCTGCGCAAGGTCTTCTAGTGGGGTAGGCCTTGAAGCCAGGCTGTCTGGCTTCAGAATCCACAGCTATTGGTATCCACGCCGCACTGTTTCTCCCAGGCTTATTGTGCTTGTCCAAACTCTATCAATGGGCATTCTTTGAAGTATAGTTCCTGATGCAGTCTGGGGAGGATTTTCCTTTGGCCAGGAGCCTAAAGCACTACACATCCAACTCCAACTTGAAATAAGTTGCCTGTAGTTTTTCAGACCCAAAAAAAGACTGTGAATTCAGGGCCCATTAAACCCCAGCCACTCAGCCCGCGGCTAGAGATTCTCGGGACTGGTTTTCTTTCTTCCTGTATTCTCTTCACTCCTTCCAAAAGAGCTCAGCGCTTATCCTGTCTTTGTGCAAGGCAGTCTCTTTCCTGATTCCTCACCATGTGTGGGGCCTAACATTTCTTCCTAGAAATGCCCGTTCATCACTGTACTACTGACACCTGGCCTCCAGAATCCAGACACGTCCCAGCCCTCCTGGACTCAGGTTGCTGCCCAGCCCTGCCAGCAGAGCATTCCGTGCTCCCGTAGTCTCATCATTCCTTTGCATCTTCCTTCGCAGTCCACCCTACTGCCAAAAAGGAAAAGCAAGAGGATTTTAACACCATCATAGAAATGGCAGTGGAAGTCAGTGTTTCCGCAGGCTCTTGGGCCTGCAGTAGAGAGGAGTGGCTGGCTGTTGACTGCCTTCTGAGAAGGTTGCCAGGACTACAAGGCAAAGGCCTGTGGGTAAAGGAGAAAATTCCAGTAGCAGGGAAAGGCAGTTTGCAGAAGAGAGTTTACCAGCTCCTGTGACAAGAGAAGTGGGGCCTTGGCACGGCTGAGGAGATGAAAAGGTGCTAACCCAAGTGTTACTCCAAGTGTTCTTTCTAGGTGGGATGGAGTTCTGTCTATCATCAGAAAAGGTCTCACGGGAGGCTGGAAGCAGTGGCTCATGTCTGTCACCCCAGCACTCTGGGAGGCCAGGGAAGAAGGGTCACTTGAGGCCAGGAGTTTCAGACCAGCCTGGGCAACATAGTGAGACTTCGTCTCTACAAAAAAAAAAAAAAAAAAAAAAATTAGCTGGGTATGATGGCACTCACCTGGGGTCCCAACACTTAGGAGGTTGAGGTGGGAGGATTGCTTCAGCCCAGGAGTTAGAGGCTGCAGTAAGCTATGATTGTTTCATTGCACTGCAGCCTGGATGACAGAAAAATACCCTGTCGCTTAAGGAAAAAAAATGAGACCAAGTGGGGTTGTTCTCTACCAACACTTTTTGGTCATGAAACTATGGTAACATTGGCCCTACTAATGCTTTTGGGGATTCTGAAATCTACTCAGCTACCTACTTCTCACTATTTCTTAGAGTTGCTCCTTCTCTATCATTCTCCATCTGTATTAACTGAAGAAGTAAAAGTTGGAAGAATCATCTTTTGTCCTAGACTGCAGTTGTGTTGAATCTGCCCTGAATGGAGTACTGGGCTAGGAGAGCCAGGCCCAACTCTGTCATTAAGTATGTTAGGACAGACATCTCAGTCACACAGTTTCTCTTGTACATGCCCACCATAAGAGGTACTGGAGGTTGACTCTGAAGGCCATTCTAGCAGCCACTGGCAGCGCTTTTCCAGGTTGCTGCCCGCAACCAAGGACTCAAGGCAGGGAAGACACAAGATCCAGAGTATTTTACAAGGGGGCACTGCCTCTTCTTATGCACAAGGTCAATGAGTTTTCACTGAGGTAGGCCTGGCAGCTCCTAGGAGCTTCCATTGTGAAGTGGCAACACATAGGTCATCTGGGTAT